ACTGGATACAGAATTCTAAGTTGACAGTCAGTCATAGAGTAACTTAAAAAATATTGCTTGGTGTGTCTTCTGGCTTCCAGAGATTCTTAGGAGACATCTGTTGCTACTCTTTTTTCCCCTGTATATTGTCATTTTTTCCTCAGGCTGATTCAGGTGGCTTTCACAGTTTGGTTATTTGGTGCTTTGGTGAAGTTTTGTTTATTTTGCTTGATGTTTCTTGAGCTTCTTAGTTATGAATGTAGGTTCTATAGTTTTCTTCACATTGAGCTATTATATTATCTCTTCCTTTATGTTCAAGTTTCGCTGTTCTATCTTGAACATAAAGAGAATATTTATAATAGTGGGTGGGTTTTTTTGTTTCTTTTTTGGTAGTACTGGGGATTGAACCCAAGGCTACTAAACTAGCACTTTACCACTGAGCAACATCCCCAGCCCTATAATAGCCTGTTTAATGTCCTTGTCTGCTACTTTAATTCATCATCTCTATATTCTGAATGTTTCTGTTGATTGATTTCCCTGCTGCCCCTTTGAGTGCTGATATTTGTGATCAGTTGCCAGATTTGTGTTTCCACATTGTTGGATGCCGTATTTTCTCATATTATTTTAGATTTTATTTTAGGATACAGACAGTTTTCTTGGATTCTCTTTGATTCTAGAGGCTTATTCTCAGATGGGTTTGGAACAACCTTTAGTCTAAAGATGATTAACCTCAACTACTACTGTATGATATTCTTCCGGTTTTGTTTTAAGGTGTGCCCCTATCTTCAAATAGGCCTTTCATCAAATAAACAAAACATAGGAAGTAGTGAAAAGTTGAGAAGGGAAGAGCTAGGGCCAGTAAAAAACTGTCACTATCTCTTAACTTGGTAGTGTGAATGATCAGAGTTGAAAAATAATCACAAAAGTGATTATAAGTTAAGACCATTTGCAATTAAGAGTGGGACCAGCTGGCACGTGCCTATAATTTCGGTAGCTCAGGTGGCTAAGACAGGAGGATCTCAAGTTCAAAGCCAATCTCAGCAACTTGGTGAAACCTTGTCTCAAAATAAGAAGTTTTAAAAAGGGCTGGGATTGTGGTTCAGTGGTTAAGCATGGGTTCAGTCCCCGGTACCAAAAAAAAAAAAAAGAATAGGACCAATGAGGGAAAAGACAAACTTAAGTGAACAGGAAGGAAAGACTAAGGGGAAAACCCTGTATTTAAGGAAGAAAATGGAAGAGAACACTGAGCTCAGACTTGGTTGAGAACAGTTTGTTTTAGTTGGAAAAGATTATCTGTTCTTCAAGGAAACTAATGGTCAAGATCACGTGGGGGGAGGAGATCACATTGGAAATTCTCAGAAAATACAGAAGATTGATTCTGATTTAGTAATGTCATTTCTCTCAGTTCCTGTGACCTAAAGTACACAGAAGGAGTACAGTCCCTCAACTGGACTAAAATTATGAAGACCATCGTTGATGACCCTGAGGGCTTCTTTGAACAAGGTGGCTGGTCTTTCCTGGAGCCTGAGGGTGAGGTGCGTGAGTGTGGGGTTTTTTTTTCTGGCAGACAGTGTTGCCTGCTATCATTTTGGCAGTTAGGAGAATGGCATACAGGGAGCACATAAAGGATCAGACCAACTGGGAGAAGCTTTGAACGCAACTTGGTATTATTATTTTTCCTGGATAGTTTTACAAGTAAGTGATAGATTGGCTATTGGTGACCGCTCACATGATTTCTTTGAAATTATGAAAAACATTCCACACGAGTTTTATAAGAATCACTTAATGAAAAGTGGTCCTTGCACATTTTCATAATGCAATATTACAAAGTTTCTGTTAATTTCTCATTAATTTCCCTAGGTAAGGAGGAATGAAATCAATCTTTTAGAAATGAGTCAATGTGCCTGAGGCCCTGTTTCAATCCCTAGCACAAAATAAAGAAGGAAGATACACTGATGCGCTAGTTAAGAGTCTGATAACAGTACTTTGCCATTAATTTTAGACAAGTGACTTGATCTCTTAGTCACTCAGGTTTTTTTTTTGTTTTGTTTTGTTTTGTTTTTTTCATGTAAAATGTTGATGTACTAATTGGGTAGAATTTCTTCATTATAAGGTGAATATGGGAATGGAAATTAATAGTATTATGGTCTTTCTAACTGGCCAGGGGAGTGATGCCGAAGAAGGGGATTCAGAGTCTGAAATTGAAGATGAGACTTTTAATCCATCAGAGGATGACTATGAAGAGGAAGAGGAGGATAGTGATGAAGACTACTCATCAGAAGCAGAAGAATCAGGTTAGTCTTTTATAAAAAAGAAATTTGTCATGGCTTCCTAATATGATTTCTAGAAACTTTGTTTTTGTTGTTTTGTTTGGTACCTGGAATTGAACACAGGGGTATCCAACTACTAAACCACATCCCCAGCTCTTTTATTATTTTAAAACAAACACAGTCTTGCTGAGTTGCTAAGGCTGAGTTTTAAACTTGCAGTCCTCCTGTCTCAGCCTTCTAAGTCGCTGGTATTGCAGGTGTGTGCCATCATGCCAGGCTAGAAACTGCTTTTTTTTTTTTTTAATTCTGTCATTCTATGATGTTTCTGTTTCTATATGACTAATTTGTGATCATTGTTATTTCAGACTATTCCAAGGAATCATTGGGCAGTGAAGAAGAGAGTGGGAAGGATTGGGATGAACTGGAAGAAGAAGCCCGAAAAGGTTAAAAAAAAAAAATTGTTTTTGTTTGGTGTTTTTATTTATTCATTCATTTATTTATGTACAAATTTTTGACATGTTTCTGTAGCCTCATGAGAAGAACAAAAGAACATAATAAAACTTGGAGCCATAGCTACAGTTTCATTGAATAAAGGAGAAATAAGTCCAGAATGTATCTAACTTCTCCAAGTGGATAAGACACCACCTTAACCAGATGACTTTTTCATCTGCCAAAGCTTCCAGGGTGCTCATAGCCATGATACCACATAGTCATGTATGGCTCCGGGTTAAGAGGAATATCTTTGTAGTGCTAATCTAGTTACTCTGAAACCAAACCCCAAATACAAGTTAAAGATGAAGAGGAAACATTATCTGCTGTATCCCAGACATGATAGGTATTTTGAGCAGGACACAGTACTTAATCCTTAAATAATTCTTCTTCTTACAAATAAATAAAGATTCAGTTCTGCAATCTGTATTTGGGGTAAAATTGGGAGTTCATAACCAACTTGAATCTAATGTATGAAATATGATATGTCAAGAGCTTTATAATGTTTTGAACAACCAATAAAAAAAAATAAAAAAAAAAATAAATAAATTGGTATTGGAATAAAAAAAAAAAAAAAGATTCAGAAAGGTTAAGCATGTGGCCCCAGGTCACATACTAATAAGTGATAGATTAAAGATTAAAATTCAGGTCTGACTAAAGGACATTCTCTATACTATTTCATGCTATCCAGTAGGTAACTAAAGCTAACCAATAATACTTTCTTATGTTTAGCGGACCGAGAAAGTCGTTATGAGGAGGAGGAAGAACAGAGTCGAAGTATGAGTCGAAAGAGGAAGGCATCTGTACACAGCTCAGGCCGTGGCTCTAACCGCGGTTCCAGACACAGCTCTGCACCTCCCAAGAAAAAGAGGAAGTAACATCTGAACTTTGGCTCTGAGCTCTATTCTTCCTCCAGCCAACTCCTGAAAATTTTACATGACATAGAAACTGTATTTTTCCTTTTATTTTCTTTGAAGTTTTGCCATTTGTGTGTATGGGTTTAGGGGGCCATTTGTGTGGACCAATCTACTCGGGGAATTTCAGGCCCACCAGGACCCGTGCCAATGGCCCCAGTTCAGATGGCAAGGGAGGAGGTATTCTTGAAGAAGGGCGGAGGCTTCAGCTGTTAATAAATACCATTCATTCCTCTCTTCCTATCACCTTCTACCAGGACATCGGTGGCTTCTGACACCTTATCTTTGGTGTCTCTAAAGCTATATTTCTAAGACAGTGGTACAAGGAGCTCCTTAACTACCTGTACCATGGTTCTTGACCAGCAGATTCAACCCTCCATCCTACCCCACTGCCATGACCTTCCTCACGTCTAAGTTCCATCTTTGCAATACTCAAGAAAAGATTCTTGGAATTTGCTAACGATGTGATGCAGCTTGAGCTAGTGAGGCAGTTTGGGCTGGTGGCTTCATCAGTTTTCCTGGTTTCTGGCCTCATGCAGGTTCTGAGGTATCTCTGCTGCCTTGGAAGACATAAGAAGCAGTGACACTCCCTGGCTTGGTTTTTCTTCTTAAAATTCACACATGGTACAATGATAGAAGGCAAAGTTACCACAGTCTCTTTTCTGATGTATCTAAGGAAGAATGGTGGTACCTCACATACTGCTTCAAATGAAACCTAGAGGGAGGCTCAAAGGAGTCTACATTTAGATCTGGAAGGGCAATTCATGCCTTGGGCCTAGAATACCCTGACAAGAAAAGAGAAGAGGAAGGGAGGCCATTGTCTACAACACAGCCTCTCATCACTGCTGCTCCTTATTTTTACTTGTCCTGCATTGTCCTGTATTTATCACAGTTTCTGTTGAACAGCTTTTTAAGTATTGAGGGAGTTTATCTTGCCATCCTCCCCTCCTGGTTCTCTGCACCCACCTGTCCCACTGCACTTCCTTCTGTGTTCTGTGACTAAGAGAAGAGGGGGGGAAGGGTCTCAGATTTTATGTTTTGTGTTTTGTTTTTTTTGTTTTTGTTTTTTTTTCTCCTTAGCAGTAGGACTTGATATTTTCAATTTTGGAAGAACTAAAAGATAAATAAACTGTGGGGTTTTTTGTTGTTTTGTTTTTATAAATTCATCTTTTGTGACCATTCCTTTGCAGTCCCTGAAAGCAACCTGCTTATCACCTGGTTAAGTGCTGACGCATTGGAAGGAAAATGCCTTTACCCCACTAGTATCACAAAAATAAACCTTCATCACTAAACTTTTATCATTAGACTGAGAAATAATAGATACCACAGTAAACCAAATTTATGGCATAGCAAGTTACTTTATAAGAGATTTTTACTATTGTTCCCTTGGATTTTAGAATGGAAAAGCATTGTTCCTTCATGAAAACAAATCTTCAGTCATCTCCTTGTAAATACCGTGGAGGGCAGCAGCTGCTTGAAGAGAAACTTTCAGTCTTCCTATTGGAATTGCCTGGTCTTCAGGGCTAAAAACTGTTGAGAAAAAGCAAAAGTATTAGGCAGTAGCATCTTCAATTTAAAAAACTCAAAACAGATATTTGTTATCTCAGGTACTGAGGATACTAAGTGAATGAAGTAACTACCCCAATTCATGAGGAGATTCTGTCTAGTGGATAGAAAACAGTTGTTGCAGTATAGTATATAATTGTTGTAATAAGTAAAAGCCCAAAGTGCTTTGGAGACAAGGGGCATGTGCCAGAATGGAGAAATAGAAGGGTTTCTGGAGACAGTTCATGAGCTAAGTCTAAAATGTAAGACATGCTCCAAGTATGCCAAGACATGAGAACATGTGTTTGAAAAACAACCAGGGAAGGGCAGGAATGAACCTATACAGATAAGTAGGGCAGATCACAAAGGACTCTGTTCTAAAGAACTTGATTTTGACCAAAGGCATCAGAAGTGGCAGTGTCCCTTATGGGTTCTAGGAAGGTGACCCCATTATTCAAAAACTTCAAAAAGGCACAACTAAGCCTAGGAGAGTAGTTATGAGGCTTTTGCAGTGTAAGGGAGGATCTTAAGTATAATAGTTGCTTATGGGGTGGGGAACGATTCAAAACAAGTAAAATTTTGTTAACTCAGTGTTGGGAGTAAGGAGAAAAGGTCATGACTGAAAATGGCCATTGTAATCTGAATAATGGAATACAAGTTAGAAAGTTTAAAATTAGAGAATTAGAGTTCAGGGGAAGTAATGGCATCTATTGTGTCTCTATGTAGTATAAACAATCTGATCTACAAAGCAATAGTTAAAACCCTGTGAGTGGATTCAACCACCTGTTCCCAGACAGTATTATGTAGAAAAACCAAGAACTGAACCAGAATAAATATTCAAAGGAACAGTCCAGGGAAGAACAATCTACAAAGCAAAAAAGGGCCAGCCAGCTAGAAAGTGATAGTTAACATCCTGGGGGGGAAAAAAAGGAAAGCCAGGTGTGTTGATTCATACCTGTAAGGGCTAGGGATGTAGCTTAGTGATAAAAGTGCCCCAAGGTTTGATCTTTAGTATGAAAAGAAAAAAAATGTTTAAAAAGGAAGAAGCATTACTGGTTTAGTGAAGTCAGGAAAGATGAGTAAAAACCAATTGGATTTGGCAATTAGGAAAAGTGAAAATATTCACAAAATGCTTGGAATGGAAATAATGCAAAAATATAGTAGGTACAGAGATAAGACTGCTTTGGCCTGATCATTCAGTGAATAGTTCAAAGGAGTTGAATTTTGCAGTGATAAGGTAGATAGATATAGGGCCAGAAAGCAGATTGTCATTTTTAAAGATCAACATGTTTAAAACCTGGTGGGGGAAGAGAAAGGAATACTCTTAAGTTGGTTTTATTGGATGATTAAAAACAATTTGAGAAGCACTCATTCATAAGCATGGGAATTTTGAGATCACTAGAAAAGGCTAATAAGAGTTTTTCTTGGCACTGAAGTCTTGGTTATGTTCAAGGATGAAACAGATTAGTGGAGTTGGAAGTGGCTAACAGATGGCACTTGCCATGTGCCAGGCACTGTCTACGTGGCCCTTAGTCTTCCATTATTTACCAAAGTGTCCCTTTAATCTTCACAATAACCCTGTGAAATACATTCTACTGCTATTATCCCTGTTTTGAAGTTGAGAAAAGGCGTACAGAGGTTAAATAATCATAGTTGGAAAGACACTAAAGGAACACAATGAAGTTGTGTCAACCTGCTAAAGTATGAACTGTAATATTTGATCTGAAGAGTATTCCTATATAATCAGAACAACTATATCAATTCAGTAAACACAGTACATCAAATAATAGAATGTGGTCAAGACAAAAAAGAGTGATTATCACTTGGTGACCAGTGGATATGAGGGAAGAAGAGAGTTGGTATCCATATGGAATATGGGACTGTACATGAACAAATTAACAGAGAAAGGTATTAGCTAACTTTACAAACCTTATCTAATTAAGAGAGTTCTGGAAATTCTGATGTCTGAATTTTATTGAAATTAATTTTTTTTAAATATTTATTTTTGTTGTAGTTGGACATAATACCTTTATTTATTTTTATGTGGTGTTGAGGATCGAACCCAGTGCCCCCGCACATGCTAGGCAAGCGCTCTACTGCTGAGCCACAACCGCAGCCCCAAATTAATTTCTCTTTAAATAAAAAGTATTCCATAACTAGGTATAGAAGCCCATGTCTGTAAGGCTAATAACTCAAGAGGCTGATGCAGGAGGATCGCAAGTTCAAAGCCAACCTCAGCAACTTAGCAATGCCCAAAGCAACTTAGCAAGGCCCGGTCTCGAAATAAAAAATTTAAAAAGGGGGACTGGGGCTATGGCTCAGCAGTAGCACACTTGCCTGGCATATGTGAGGCACGGAGTTCGATTCTCAGCACCACATATAAATAAATACAAGTTTATCAACTAAAAAATAAACTTAAAAAGGGGGATGCAGGGGGCTGGGGATGTGGCTCAAGCAGTAGCGCGCTCGCCTGGCATGCGTGTGTCAGCCGAAAACTAAAAAAAAAATAAAAAATAAAAAGGGGGATGCAGCTCAGTGGTTAAAACACCAATAAATAAATAATAATCCCTATCAAAAATTGTAGAGTCAAAATAGATTCTAATTGTAATGAGGTAATAAGAGAGCTAAAATAAACAACTGATTACTTTTTATGCTGGATCCAGAAATGAAATACAGACAGCTATGGGGAAGAGATCTCAATTCAGTTCGTCTCTCACCATCTTCAAAGTGATAATGATACATTGAAGGCAAAACAAAAATTATTCAATATTAGGATGTTTTTCTTAAAAAATTAGGAACTGAGAAGCACAAAAATTTTTATTACTTACTATCTAATTCTTGTTCTAGAATATCTCTTCCTGATTCAAGGATCTGCCATAGTCCAAGGTATGCATATCCTACTTCTTCACATTCTTTCTTTTCTTCATCCATAGGATCACCCACCACTGTAAACTTTAAACTAACGGGGGAAAAATCCATTTATTTCAGTACTGCTGATCCCCTTATACTTTAAAAAGAAAATAAAGAAAAATAATCATAAAAAATACAGTATATTCTCCCCTGAATCACCTTTCTTTTGCCTATATTAGACTAGATGACAACAAAGTGAGGAATCAATGTAATTTTAATTAAGTAAAACTACTTATTTAAAGACCCATTACTACAGGCACTTAGAAGAAGACACAAAGATTTTTAAAAATAAGTTGATCAGATCTCAAAACTATCAAGATAAAATTCCTGGTAAGGGCTGGGGCTGCTGCTCAGCGGTAGCACACTTGCCTGGCATGTATGAGGCATTGAGTTCGATTCTCAGCACCACGTATAAATAAATAAAGGTCTATTAACAACTAAAAAAATTTTTTAAAAAATTCCTGGTAACACAATTTACAATGTTGAAGGATTTATTGTGAGAAATATTACGGATATTAGGAGAAGTTTTATAAATAAAATTTGGATCCCAAACATGAGCAAAGGCAACACAAGGAATGCAAAATTGGAAAACAAGTATAAAAAGTACATTCCTTGGAGTACTCACAGATGATGCTGTAAAGCACATAGTACAATGCCCCAAAAGCAATGAGTAGTCATTGACAACTAGTATTATCCTGATTTAGCCTAGTAAATGGTATTGAATTCTAGAAACTTGTACAATCCATAATAATCCCATTAATTTCCTTAGATAAAATTCACTATTTTAACCATTTTACAGTATTCAGTGTGTTTTAGTATAAGCATAATATGTGATCATCAGCACTAATTCCAGAATGGTCATTACCTCAAAAAACAAACCATCTTGATTAAGCAGTCACTACCTATTCTTTCTCCCAGTTCCTGGCAACTGCTGATTACTTTCCATCTCTCTAGATTTGCCTATTCTGGACATTTCGTATTCCTATTAATTTTGGTGGGGAGGGTATCAGGGATTGAACTCAGGGGCACTTGGCCACATCCCCAACCCTATTTTGTATTCTATTTAGAGGCAGGATCTCACTGAGTTGCTTGGCACCACATCTTTACTGAGGCTGGCTTTGAACTTGCAATCCTCCTGTCTCAGCCTACTAAGCCACTGGGATTACAGGCATGTGCCACTGCGCCTGGTTCTATTAATTTTTAAAAAGCAAATCTTGGAGCTGGGGTTGTGGCTCAGTGGTAGAGTGCTCACCTAGCACATGTAGGGCGCTGGGTTCAATCCTCAGCACAATATAAAAATAAAATAAAGGTATTGTGTCCAACTACAACTAAAAATATTTTTTTAAAAAAGCAAATCTTGATGCTGATAATGCTAAGGGAGCAAGAACTGGACTAAAAATTCAATTTCTTAAAGCACAGCTAAACAAGATTCACTTGAAAAGAAGGCCTTCCTAAAAAGGATACATTTTCAGCAGCGTAAACAATATTCACTTGTGATTATCACAAATTCTATATCACTACTAAGATCTTCAACAATGCAAAGGGATAATGCTAACTTCCCTACCCCAGCTTTCCAGGAAAGGGATAGTATAACTGGCATTGCTATGGGCCAGCCACCATGCCAGGTGCTTTTGTAAACTATGTCACTTCAATTTTATTCTCACAAGAGCATTGGAGTTAGTTAGGTAATATTGCAAAGATGAAGCTAGTAAGTGAGAGAATTAGGATTCAAAACCAGGCCTGTCAGAATACAAAGCCATTCTACTGTCAGCTATACAATACTAACAACAACAAAAAAAATCAAAGGCAAAATCAACCAAAATCTAAAATTGAGTAGAAAACGATCAGCACTGTAATATACTAAAGGAAGAGAGAGTTATAAGAATTCTGAAAATTTAAAAAGTAAGTAAAGGAGCTGGGGTTGTGGCTCAGCTGTAGAACACTCGCCTAGCATGTGCGAGGCGCTGGGTTCAATCCTCAGCACCACATTAAAATAAATAAATAAAATAAAGGTATTGTGTCCAACTACAACTTATTTAAAATATTTTTTAAATATTTTTTTAAAAAGTAAAAGTGAAAATTAAATTTAACATTAGCACAGAAGGCAAATTATCAGTCTCCATTTCCAAAAGTTATCAATAAATTTTTATCTAAGCCCACAATAATACTGTGAAATCAGCAACACTTTTTTTAAACTGGCTCCTTTTTTCAGTCCTTTCTAGGAGACAAAGTAAAATTATTGGAACTTTAGAAAAGTAACAAATTAAAACACTAGCCCTGAGGTTGGGGTTGTGGCTCAGCGGTAAAGTGCTGGCCTAGCACATGCGAGGCCCTGGATTCGAGCCTCATTATTTTAACCATTTTACAGTAAAAAAAAAAAAAAAAGTAAACAAAATAAAGATATTGTGTCCAACTACTATTTATTTTTTAGTTTTCAGTGGACACAACATCTTTATTTTTATGTGGTGCTGAGGATCAAACCCAGAGCCCCGTGCATGCCAGGTGAGCGTGTTACTGCTTGAGCCACATCCCCAGCCCAATATATATATTTTTTAAAAAATAAAACACTAGCCCTGTATCATTTCTTAATCACACACAGGAGAAAATAGGATTGCCAGATTTCCAAAATTAAACCAAAACATATGAAATTTGAAATTCAGCCAAACAATAATTTTTCTTTTTAGTGTAAGTAACCAATACATATAACTTGGAAACTCTATAAAGTCTCAGATTAAAGGAAAAATAAAGCCTATTGGCTTTCCTAAAATTTTAAAGGAGATATAGAATTTACTTAGTTATAACAAAATTGAAATATTCCCATAAAAAGACAATTTTAAAAGTCTAAATGTAAAATTAGTATTACCAAGGCACAATTTTTAGCAAGCTAGGAACACTTATTCATGTGTGAGAACTTAATTATCTTAGAATATCAAAGCATGCTGTCCATTCCATGTCAATATACAAGTAGATTACTGCCACAAAAAGGACCGTCAAGGGCTGGCATGGGTGAGAAATGAACTAAACCTATAGGATTAAATAACTGATCAAGTAGTCACAAACATCGGGCTCAAATAGATGAGAAATTCATTAATAGTACATTAACTTAGTGGTAACACTCCTGTAATCCCAGTGACTTGGGAGACTGAGGCAGGAGGATCACAAGTTCAAAGCCAGCCTCAGCAATTTAGCAAGGCCCTAAACAACTTGGCAAGACTCTGTCTCAAAATAAAAAAGGGGTGGGAATGCAGTTCAGTAGTTAAGCACCCCTGGGTTCAATCCCTGGTACCAGGAAAAAGAACAGTAAATTAACTTGGCAGCACAGTTTCCCAGCAATTTGGGAAACTAAAGCATGCGGATCACAAATTCAAGGCCAGCTTGGGCAATTTATTGAGACCCTGTCTCAAAATAAAGATAAAAATGGGCTAGAGGTATATAGCTCAGTGGTTAAATACCCAGTAATCCACATACACAAAAGAATAAATTAAATATTCAGCATCAGCACAAAACTAAACTCAGACTATTAAATTCCTGTTTGAATATCTCCTTCCTTTTAAAGTAGAAATCAGATGCTTACTGTCCTTGCTCAGGATTTTGAGCATTCAACATGGCAAACAGAAATTGCCTTCGGCCTTGTTGCTCCAGTGGGTCCAGGTCTATCACTGTATTAAAGGTAAGAAAAAAAAGCAAAAAATCACATACTGTTGCTATTTGGGCATGAAGTCTTTCATAAGTAGTCTATGTAAAAAATTGACAAACTAGATCTATGAGCTGGCTCCCCTTTTTTTTTTTTTTTGTAAATAAAGTTTTGTTTTTAAAACAGCCATGCCTATTTATGTGTCTGTGGCTATTTTTTGTTCTTATTTTGGGAGGTTGGTTTTGATTCTGTTTGTTTTGTGGGGATGGACACCAGCATATTAATCACATGCTCTTCACTGAGCTACACCTCCAGCCTGTGTTTGTTTTTGAAACACAATGGCAGTCAATAGAGACTGTCTGGCCTACAAAGCCTAAACTATTTACCATCTGGTCATTTAAGAAAAAGAAGCCTTATAATCATCATTGAAAGCTGTTCTATCATATGCCAAAATAAATGTGCTCCCACTACTCCCTAAGCTAGAGAATTCTAGGAGACTGATTCTTTAGGGGCACCTGGAGATTCAAATTTCTGGTAGGGTCAACTCAGGACACCTATCTTCCTCCTCATTTTTGTATAGGAATGTTGCAACCTTAGCACACTTTCCTGTCTATATTTTAGTTTAATATGGTCACAGGATTTAATTCAGACTGTTGTGTTGTATGAGACTTTTGTGAAGGCTGCTTAAAGGGCTCAGCTGGGAGGCATTCTTCCTTTCCCCAGCAGTCATTAGGAACCTTGGGTTAACCACAAAGAAAGAAGGTTAGGTAGGCTGTGGGATGATAGGAAGACAACAGTCCAGATCTCTGATAGTTGCGCACACCTCAGGTTTGCCAGCCCGTCTCAGAAATTTTGTTACCTAAATGAGAAGTCAACTTCTATCTTGTACATACTAGGGCAGGATATACTAAGAAAATAAATTAATTTTTTAAAAGGAAAAGAGTATTCAGACACAGTTGCACTTGTCTCTAATCTCAGCTACTCAGGAGGCTAAGGCAGGAGAATCCCAAATTTGAGGCCAGTCTCAGGAGACCTCAGACAAGATCTCAAAATAAAAAATAAAAAAGGTTGGGATGTAGCTTAGTGATTGAACCCCTAGGTTCAATCCCCAGTACTGCAAATCATCACCATCATTATCGCCATCATCATCATAAAAGATAAAATGGCTGGATTCACCTCCATCAGAAATCCAGAGCACTTCTGACCATCAATCTAAATGTTTGTCAGCCTCCTCTACCCCTCACCACACAGGATACCTCACCCTTGCTAAAGTGGAAGTGGATTTCTTCTCCTTTCCTCGGTTTCCTCAGGGATACTGGAGTCTCTGTCTCAGACAAGGGTAGATCGTAGAATCTATACTCCACATACACCTGCTTTATATTCTCATCAGACATCACTTCAGCCTCTGGATAGAAGGTCAGGGAGACTATTTCAATGCACATCTTCTCTGAATCCTAATAAGGAAATATTATAAGGAAAATATTATTTATTTCCTATAGGTTAGTGAGGCTCCAAGTGTTTAGACTCCATCAAATTAACACATTATTATCCAGAAATCACAGACATAATCTAATATATTACTCCCTGAGAATCAATTCATAGGTTAAAACTGTCACCAAGAGACAACTTGTCTGAATTGTCACAACTAGTCTATGGGAAATTGGTAAGGAGAATCCAGCTATTCTATCTTCCAGTCAAATTTTTCCAGATCATCCTTTCTTGGCCATCTCCACATACAGAAAGAATCAAGATGATTTATGAAGAGAGAGTTTTTTTCCAATTTCAACGAAAACCAATCCAGTATTCTCCTGAGAATAGGACTTATAAGACCTGTCCATCGATCTTAGAGATTTAGTAGCTCCTTCAGCTACAACAAGAGCTTCCCGATTTCCAGTGATTTTTTTTTAGTTGTAGATGGACACAATACCTTTATTTTATTTTATTTTTTAAAGAGAGAGAGAGAGAGAGAGAGAGAGAGAAAATTTTTTAATATTTATTTTTTAGTTTTCGGCAGACACAACATCTTTCTTTGTATGTGGTGCTGAGGATCGCCGGGCACATGCCAGGCGAGCGCGCTACCACTTGAGCCACATCCCCATCCCCTATTTTATATTTTATTTGTTTATTTTCATGTAGTACCAGGGATCAAACTCAGTGCCTCACACATGTTAGGCAAGCACTCTATCACTGAGCCATAACTCTGGCCCACCAATGATTCTTTTGTCCACCTAAGTGCATGCCATGGAGGAGGCCACCAGACTCCCACAGTGACTCCAATACTTTCAACTCCACTTCAGGATTGCTGTCCTCTCTTTCGATTGTCCCTCTGTTCACACTAGCATGAGGGAAGTCAAAAGGACAGCTGGCAAATCTCCAGTTTCCAGAAGTAGACCAAGGTCAACATGAGTTCCTCCTTGCACAGTGTAGCAGCAAGACCATGTCAATACAGAGTGGTGTCCTGTAAATACAGAGTGGTGTCCTGTAAACCATGGTTCCCTTTTATCTGTGAGCATCCTCCTGGCTGCTTCTTTCCTTTAGGTCATCAAGACAATGCCCATACTACTCCAACTTATCTTTATAATTTTTTTTTAAAGAGAGAGTGAGAGAGGGAGAGAAAGAATTTTAATATTTATTTTTTAGTTATCGGCAGACACAACATCTTTGTATGTGGTGCTGAGGATCGAACCCGGGCCGCACGCATGCCAGGCGAGCGCGCTACCGCTTGAGCCACATCCCCAGCCCCCCCAACTTATCTTTTCTTCCCGTAGAAAACAAATGGAGCACTTGTGTCTTCTAAGAAATTCAGCAAGCAATACTTCCCAACCATTGTGTGTCAGAGTCATCCATGATACTTTTAAAAAATAAATATATTTGGTGTTTTCCTCTCAGTAACCCCCATATAAACCCTCCCACAACCCCCATGAAGCAAACTCTAACTCTACACACAATGTTTTCCAAAACATGGGTTTTGGCACTTTGATGAATTAGCTTAATAAGTTTCACTAGTAATTTTTAAAATGAAATAATAAAATATAGGATAGGATGGGATGAGATAAGATAGGATGGGATAGAATAATGCATGGCAAATATAAGGGGTAAGGCTTGTTTCTTAAAACTTTCATTTATGGGGCTGGGGATGTGGCTCAAGCGGTAGCGCGCTCGCCTGGCATGAGTACCGCCCAGGTTCGATCCTCAGCACCACATACAAACAAAGATGTTGTGTCCGCCAAAAACTAAAAAATAAATATTAAAAAAAATTCTCTCTCTCACTCTCTCTTTAAAAAAAAAAACTTTCATTTATGAGTTTACTGGGCACAAGGTAGAAATACATTTCTTATAGTGAGTGACATAAGAAAAATACAAAGGTCACTGTTATGTCAGACTGTTTAAGGTATCTCCTGAGAATATGCATTTAACTTTTAAATATTTAGATATAATTTACATACAGTAAAATGAAAAGAACTTAAATGTACAGCTTTGACAAATGTATACAATTGTGTGATCAACACCTAAGATATAGAAAATTTCTGTCATCCCAGAGAGCTCTCTCAGGATTCAATTTTTTTTTTAAGTAACTTACCATTTATCAAGTACTCACTTAGTGTGAGGATATGATACTGAAAGCATGAGCAAGTATTTTATAACAAAACTTTATCCCCTTTTTCAAAAATTCAGTGCTTATTACATGTCTCACCTTGTGCTACATTTTTTTTTTAATGTAAGGTCCTATTCCTTGGAACTTTATCTATGGAAAGTCTTTTTTTTTTTTAAATATTTTATTCACATTTTTTAGTTTTGGGCAGATACAACATCTTTGTTTGTATGTGGTGCTGAGGATCAAACCCGGGCCGCACGCATGCCAGGCGAGCGCGCTACCGCTTGAGCCACATCCAGCCCCTAAGGAAAGTCTTGAAGGTCTGTCTGAAGCAATTTCCTCAACACAGTATTTTCTTTTGTTTCTGCCAGGTACCTGAGGCACATCTTATGTGGGACACTTTATTCCCTAGCTTGAGGTTTTCAGACACTGGTAATGTAATTTGGCAGAAAAACCCACTTGATGGCTTCCTCCTGGTTATAAAATTCTCAAAGGAGAAGTTTTCTTTTTCTTTCTTTCTTTCTTTTTCTTTTTTTTTTTTTTTTGTCCAGGGATGATTGAACCCAGGGGTGCTTAATCACTGAGCCACATCCCCAGCCCTTTTTAATATTTTATTTAGAGACAGTCTTCCTAAGTCGCTGAGGGCCTCACTAAGTTGCTGAACGCATGATCCTCCTGCCTCAGTCTCCCAAGCCACTAGCATTACAGGCATGTCCAACTGCACCTGGCTCTTTCTTTCTTCCTCAGTACTGGGTATATAACCAAGGGCCTCATGCATGATGGGCAAACGCTGCACTATAGAGCTACATCAACTCATCAAAGGCAATATTTTTCTTTCTTCACCTACACCCAGAGTCAAAACTGGTAAGTTTCTTTATGTCACTTTTTATGGGGCAGGTTTATTATAATTTCCTCATACATAAAATCATGTTTAAGTTATGAACTCTATAAACTCTATAAATGTTAAGCTGAATTTCTTAAGGTGTATTTGAGGAATAGGTGTCTTAAAAATTAATAGCTCTTGATCAAGCAAATTTTGGAAAATCAAGAACAAAGTTTTCCTGTTTCTTTAAAAGCACTGAAAGCTATTCCAAAGCTAACATACATCGGGATACTTTTAGACAGTGATACAGAGGTCATTTTTTAGATTACAAATTACTTTTGATATCTTCCCTGATAAACACTATTATTCCATTAAAACTGAGAATACTGCCATGCCTGGTGGTACACACTTGTAATCCCAGAGGTCTGGGAAGCTGAGGTAGGAGGATTGCAAGTTTAAAGCTAGCTTTAGCTACTAAGCAAGGCCCTAAGCAACCTGATGAAACCCTGTCTCAAAAATAAAGTAGAATAAAGGGCTGTGGGTGCTGGAGTTGTGGCTAAGTGGTAAAGTGTTTGTCCAGTACATGTGAGGCACTGGGTTCAATCCTCAACACCACATAAAAATACAAATAAATAAATAAAGGTATAAAACAATTTTTTAAAGGGTGGGAGGGCTGGGAATGTGGCTCAGTGGTAAAATATCTCTGGGTTCAATGCCCAGTACCAAAAACAAACTAAGAATACTGGGGGAATTGTTAGTGACACTGTGAGAGAAAGGCCATTATATGGTGAGACTAAACTGACATAATTTGGGAGGGGGACAATAACTTCAAGTACATATTCCCATTAAAAACTAGTAATGCCTTATTGGGTGTAGTGGCATATTACCAATAATCCCAGCAACTCAGGAGCTAAGGCAAAAGGATTGCAAGTTCAAGGCCATCCTCAGCAATGCAGCAAGGCCCTAAGCAATTTAGCAAGACCCTGTCTCAACATAAAAATAGGGCTGGAGATGTGGCTCAGTTGTTAAGTGCTCCTGGGTTAAATCCTGGGTACCAAAAAAATAAATAAAAACCACAGTAATTCCTGGGCATGGTAGGGTACACCTGTAATCCTAGCAACTCAAGAGGCTGATAATAGGAGGATTGAAAGTTCAAGGCCAGTCTCAGCAATCTAGAGTGACCCTAAGCAACTTAGTAAAACCCTGTCTCCAAAATAAAAAACAAAAAGGGCTGGGGGTGTAGCTTAGTGGTAAAGCTCCACTGGGTTCAATCCCCAGTACCAAAAGAGGCAAATGACAACAACCAAAAAAAAAAAAAAGTAATTCCACCTCTAGGAATCTACCATACAAAAATATTTAAACAAAGTACACAAAAATACTTTTTACTGAACACAAGGGTGTTTGTTCATTACCAGCTAATTTTTAACATCAAGAGACTGAACATGACCTAATAGCAAATAGTTGAACAAATTTATTCTATAGAATAGTATGTATCCATTAAAAGGAACTCTGTATATTTCTATATATTGAAACTGAAAGATGCCTAAGACAGATTGAAGGTGATTAAAAGGAGGCAATGTATAGTATCATTACATAAATAAATAAATAAATATATATATATATATATATATATATATATATATATATACACACACATATATATACATACATACATACATACACATTATACAAGTGAGTGTGTATGTGTGTTCACTGAAGGGGTATAAACCAGACTGTTAATAAGGATAATCCCTGGGCTGAGGTTGTGGCTCAATGGTAGAACACTTGCCTCCTATGTGTGTGAAGCACTGGGTTCAATCCCCAGCACCACATTAAAAAATAGTAATAATAAACAAACAAAATAAACTTATTGTGTCCATGTATATCTTTTTAGTTGCAGATGGACATGATATCTTTATTTTTATTTATTTATTTTAATGTGGTGCTGAGGATCAAACCCAGGGCCTCACACACGTGAGGTAAATACTCTACTGCTGAGCGACAACCCCAGCTAACTAAAAATATTTTTAAAAAATAATAAGAACAATCCCTAAGGAACAGTAGTGGGAGGGGCTAGGGGCCCTACTCAATACCTGTGTACAATTACTAAGTCCTATTAAATAATTTCTTTAGAATCAGGTACAATGGCATGTGCCTTCATCCCAGATACTCAGGAGGCTAAGGCAGAGGATCAAAAGTTCAAGGCCAGGCTGGGCAACTTAGTGAGATCCTGTCTCACTAAGTAAATTGAGTAAGAAAACTTTGTCCTTTATATATCTCTATATTTTAATTTTAACAAGAGAGTCACATTACTTTTAATATTGAAACTTTATTTATAAAATACATGTATTTATATTAAATGTCAGTTTGGTAGTGCTGGGTCATAATGACAGCAACTGTTTCAAGAGTAGACGGGACAGGGGCTGGGGTTGTGGCTCAGCTGTAGAGCGCTCCCCTAGCACAGGTGGGACCCAGGTTCAATCCTCAGCACCACATAAAAAATAAAAAGGCGTTGTGTTGTGTCCATCTACACCTAAAAAATAAATATTAAAAAAAAGGAGTAGAAGTCCTCCTTTTTAGTCCCAGAGGAAAAAGACAAAGTAAAATGAGTCAAAACCAAAACGAAAAAAAAAAAAAATCATAAGCAGGGGCTGGGGTTGTGGCTCAGTGTTAGAACCATTATTCCCATTTGCTTTAAGACCTCAGATTTTTGTCTCTTTAGCAGTAGCATATATTCAGAACATCAAATTTATTCTCTTTGTCTCTTAATTTCTGTCTTCCAGGATGTCCTAACCCCTTGTATATGCTGACTAGTTAATTTTAACATCTCTGCACCCTGGCAAAATTAGCTAGCACACCAGAAATAGTAAGCTAAAAGGCATTATCTTTCTGTCCCTAACCTTGTGTAACTATTTCTGTTCTGCCAGCAAGTTCAAATGAGTTAGTATATATTACAGTGGTAATATTACTAATTATATATTGTGTATGTATGTATGTGTGGTGTGCTGGGCATTGAACCCAGGGCCTCACACACCCTAGGCAAGTGGCAAGCACTCTACCACTGAGGTACATGCCCAGTCCAATTGTATACTTCTTTTTGCTGGGATTACAGGTATGCACAAACATGCCCACCTCCTGAGGATCCATAAAGGGAGGTAAGTACAAAGGACCTTATGGGTCCTTGTGCTGATTAATAGAGCTTTCTGGGGACAGTCTTAAACAGCCTATCAATATGGTTCAGTTTTCATATTTAATTTCTCAAGTAATACTTTTGAGTGCACAAAGGTTTGTAGCTTGGTAGCTAAGTGCCCCTGGGTTCAAACCCCAGTACCAAAACAAAAGTTCAGAAGAGAAACTTAACCAATTTGTCATATTATATGTTTAAGTCTAGTGACTCTGAGTTCTTTCTCTCCATTCTAGTATCCTTCATTTTCCTGCAATTCCTCAACACAAATTCTGACTTCCAAACAAGTCTATGAAAGCAACAATTCCCTTTTTTGGAATTCTTACAAACCTTAAATTTTATATCAACATAATTTATCCACTTGATCCTATTTTAGGTCATCCTACATTTTTTTTTTGGTATCAGGGATTGAACCCAGGAGTGCTCAACTACTGAGCCACATCCCCAGCCCTTATTATTTTTTATTTTGAGACAGGGTCTCACTAAGTTGCTTAGGGCCTCGTTAAGTTGCTGAGGTTGGCTTTGAACTTGCAATTCTCCTGCCTTAGCCTCCTGAGCAGCTGGGATTACAAGCATGGGTCACCATATCTGGCTCTTCCTATATTCTTAATGTTTCTAACAAGGTTCATAATCCTCAATTAGACCTTCATTTTTCATTCAACAAATATTTACTGACTACCTACAAATGTGCCAGAGAGAATGGCTCGAAGAAGATAATTGTTTTCTACATCATTTGTAATCCTATAAGATTCAAATACAATGATTTTTTTAAAATATATTTGTGAATATTTATTAACATACATGAATGTCCTCAATACGTGTATGTAACTGGTTCCCAATTTACAGCTTAACAGTTTTTTGGTTTTAGATGGTGTGAAAATAATATGTAGTAGAAACTATACTTTGAATTTTGAACGTTGATCTTTTCCCAGACTAGTGATAGCAGTATGACACACTCTCCTGACATTGAGCAGGGGCAGTGAGCTGCTGCTCCTAGTCAGGTATGCAATTACAAGGGTACAAAATCTGTACTCTACAGTGAAACTGTGTTACTAAGCCATGATATTTGGTAGGCCAGGGGCATTAAATGCACTTTTGACTTATTATATTTTAAGTTTATAATGGGTTGGGGACATACTCCCTTCATAGATTGAGGAGCATCCATAGTTTCAAAAGAGATTCGAGGCTGAAATGGTTAATATTTATAAATGGAGTCAAAATGGCAAAAATTGAATGATCTGTCTGAACCCTCCTCTAAAGAATCCTTTCCTTTACACATCCCAGAGTAAAGCTGCTCACCTTACATGGACTTAAAGACAAGGGCATCCATGAATCACAATGTAGAGTGAAGGGTATGAGAACAAGAAGTAGGCAAGGATCCAAACAGGAGACAGAACTGTTGAAGCAAGTCCTCATTTACACCAAACCAAACAAACTTCTATTATTGTGTAATGTACACTTAACTAAATAACTTACATTTCCCATCAAGTTCATTTAAATTGGATTTGAACTTCAAACATGTGGCTACTAAGCACACTGTCATTATTTACAGTCCTGTGTCATACACAATGATTACTCCAGTGCACTTACTGTCTTAGGACATTTCTGAGATATGGGTGTCACTATGATGTCATCACTGTCTGTAGTTTGTGCTTCACTGGCTTCAGAAGCTTGTTCACAGAATTCTTGATCTGCTAGAGAAGAGGCTGACGTTACATAACTGTTTCAAAGTACTCTGTCCAGCCCAAGAAAAGAGCCAACAGCCACATCTCTGATTCCTTGTTTGACCACTAAATCTAAGTGTCTAGACTTTTACTTCACTAGCTAAGAATCAAATCCAATTTTTCAAGGCTCACATCTGAAAGAAAAAAAATAAAAAAAGGAAAGATGGAAGAACAGAAACAGAGAGCAATGGAGGGAGGAAAGAGTAAAGAAGGCAAAAAGGAATGCAGGAAGGAAAGAAGGCAGGCAGGAAGAAAAGCAGGCGGGGAGGTTGAGGGCTTCCTGTAGGGCCTGAAGAAAATTACCAAGTTGAGGAAAAGCAGTGCAAATCAAGTATGACAACTGTATTTTTCAAAGATGGTCTCCAAACAATATGCATTCCCTTCTCACAGTGTGATCTCCACACTTCTATTGTGTAATGAGGTCTATGTCCCTCCATTTCAACTGAGGGTGTGACTGTCTCAACCAAAAGAGTATGGTAGGAGTAATGCTGTGTAACCTCTAAAATGTGGCCCCTTGATCTCTCAGGGGTCTCTCAGTTGGAAGCCAGCCAGCAAGTGTGGAAACTCAAGCAAATTGCTCAGGAGGGCCCATGTGGAGAGGAGCTGGGACCCCTGGCCCCTAGCCACTGCAGAGCTCCCAAATGAAAATCAGGATCACATGAAGTCATTAGAGTGCGCCATCATGCAAGCTGAACCCATGTGTTCCCTAGCTGAGCTATCTGAAGTTATGTGAAGGAGAATGACCCTTACCCCCGTGACCTGCCTAAACTACAGATTAGGGAGCAAAATAAATGGTTACTGTTGTTTTAAGCCACTAAATTTTAGGGAGGATTGTTACATGACAACAGGTAACTAAAAGACAGAAAGTCTGTGCCTCCTTCTAAGTCCTAGAGTTGTCTGTTTTATAGAGATCTCACAGGGAAAAGGTCTGAGATGGGAAGCAAAAGCAAAGTTTGCTGAGGGGCACAAAGCTTTGCCAACATCTAAGACCTTTTCCTAGTGATCTTCACCTAACAACCATGTAGATCTTTCTCTAAAAGATTAATAAACTCGTTTTCAATAACTACAGCATCTTGCCTCTGACATGTCTATCTGGACATCTGAAACCAGGCAGATTTTAGCTTCTTTTTTTTTTCTAAATATTTATTTATTTATTTTTTGTAGTTGAACACAATACCTTTATTTTATTTATTTATTTTTATGTGGTGCTGAGGATCGAACCCAGTGCCTCACACATACTAGGCAAGCACTTTACCACTGAGCCACAACCCCGGTTCCAGATTTTAGTTTCTTTTGTCAACTAACTGAAGCTCTTATTTTCTGAAGAATGACATTAAAATAATAACAATTATTTTAAATTATTTAAATGGTATTCTAATTATGACAATAAATAGTTGACTATAAATAGTACATGATTTTTAATTACCTCCTGTCCTATATCTCATTTTCAATAAAGAAAAAAGAACAGTGGTGTAGGTCAGACTTGATCAAATACCTGAGCTCTTTTCTTATTTGTATCGCTTTAATTTCTTTCATCTGTCTAATTGCTCTGGCTAGTTTCCAGAACTATGTTGAATAGACGTAGTGATAGAGGGCATCCTTGTCAGTTTTTTTGTTTTTTGTTTTTTTAATTTTTAGATGGACTCAGTACCTCTATTTTATTTATTTATGTGGTACTGAGGATCTAACCTGGGGCCTCAGGAATGGAAGGCAAGTGTTTACCATTGAGCCACAATTCTAGCCCTCCTTGTCAATTTCTAAAAGGAGTGCTTTCAATTTTTCTCCATTTAAAATGATACTGGCCTTGGGCTTAGCATAGATAACTTTTACAATGTTGAGGTATATTCCTACTATTCCTAGTTTTTCTAGTGTTTTGAACATGAAGGTGTGCTGTATTTGGTCAAATGCTTTTTCTCCATCTATTGAGATGATCATATAATTCTTGTGTTGATGTGATGAATTACATTTATTGATTTCCAGATGTTGAACAAACCTTGCATCCCTGGGATGAACCCCACCTAACCATGGTGCACTATTTTTTAAATATGGTTTTGCATGTGATTTGCCAGAATTTTATTGAGAATTTTTCCATCTATGTTCATCATATTGGTCTGAAGTTTTCTTTCCTTGATGTGTCTTTGGTTTTAGTACTAGCATGTTATTAGCCTCACAGAATGAGTGTGGAAGAGTTCCCTCCTTTTGTATTTCATGGAATAATTTGAGGAGTATTGGTGTTAATTCTTCTTTGAAGGTTTTGTATTTTTGGTTCAGAATCCCTCTGGTCCTGGGCTTTTCTTGGTTGGTAGGCTTTTATGGTGTCTTCTATTTCATTGCTTGAAATTAATCTGTTTAAATTTTGTATGTCCTCCTGATTCAGTTTGGTTAGATCATATGCCTCTAGAAATTTGTCAATGTCTTCAAGATTTTTCTATTTTATTGGAGTATAAATCTTCAAAATAGTTTCTAATTATCTTCTGTATTTCAGTTGTGTCTGTGATGATATTTTCTTTTTCATAATGAATTTTAGTAATTTACATTTTTCTCTTTCTCTTTGTTAGTATGGCTAAGGGTTTATCAATATTATTTATTTTTCCAAAGAACCAACTTTTTGTTTTATCAATTTTTTGAATTGTTTCAATCTCATTGATTTCAGCTTTGATTTTAATTATGTCCTATATTCTACTACTTTTAGTGTTGATTTGTTCTTCTTTTTCTAGGACTTTGAGATATAATGTTAGGTCATTTATTCATTGACTTTCTATTCTTTTAATGAATGAGCTCAATGCAATGAACTTTCCTCTTATCACTGCCTTAATAGTGTCCCAGAAATTTTGATATGTTGTATCAGTGTTCTCATTTACCTCAAAGTATTTTTTTATTTCATCCCTGGTTTCTTCTGGTATCCATTCATCATTCAATAGTATTTTATTTAGTCTCTAGGTGTTGGAGTAGCTTCTATTTTTTATTTTATTGTTGATTTCTAATTTCATTCCATTATGATCTGATAGAATGCAGGGTAGTATCTCTAATTTTTTTGTACTTGCTAAGAGTTACTTTGTGGCATAAGATACAGTGTATTTTAGAGAAGGATCCATATGCTGCTGAGAAGAAAGTTTACTCACTCATTGATGGATGAAATACTCTATATATGTGCATGCGTTAAGTCCAAATTAATGATTGTATTATTTAGTTCTATAGTTTGTTTAGTTTTTGTTTGGAAGATCTATCCAGTAGTGAAAGAGGTGTGTTAAAGTCATCTAGTATTATTGTGTTGTGGTCTATTTGATTCTTTTTTTTTTTTTTTCCTTTTTCGGATCCCTGTGTTTTTTTTCCATCCTTTCACCTTTAGTCTATGGATGTCTTCACCTATGAGGTGAGTCTCTTGGAGAAAGCATCTATTATTGGAGCATCTTGGCTTGTTTGGGGGGCTTTTTTTAAAATACAATCTGTCGGGCTGGCGATGTGGCTCAAGCGGTAGCACGCTCGCCTGGCATGCGCAGGGCGCTGGGTTCGATCTTCAGCACCACATGAAAATAAAATAAAGATGTTGTGTCCACCGAAAACGAAAAAATAAATCTTTAAAAAAAAAAATAAAATACAATCTGTCAGTGTATGTCTTTTTTTGGGGGGGCGGGGAGGGTATTGGGATTGAACCCAGGGGTGCTCGACCATCAAGCCACATCCCTAGCCTTTCCTTATTTTTTATTTTGAGACAGGGTCTCACTGAATTGCTTAGGTCCTGGCTAAATTGCTGAGGTTGGCTTTGAACTTGCAATCCTCCTGCTTTAGTCTACTTAGCTGCTGGGATTTCAGGAATGTGCCACTGTGCCCAGAGGTCTATGTTTTTTGATTGTTGAATTTAGGCCATTAACATTCAAGGTTGTTATTGAGATATGATTTGTATTCCCATTCATTTTGGCTTATTTCTGGTTTTTAATTTGACTTAATTTCTACTTTGATTGTCTTTTCCTTAACTGTAGTTCCTCCCTTTGCTGGTATTTACTTTTTTTTTTTTTTCCATTTCCTCCTCATGAAATATTTTCCTGAGAATGTTTGGAAGTGCAGGCTTTCTAGTTGTGAATTCTTTTAATTTTTGTTTATCATGGAAGGTTTTTATTTCATTTTCTAATCTGAAGCTTAATTTTACTGGATATAAAATTCTTGGTTGGCAGCCATTTTCTTTCAGAGCTTGGTATATGTTATTCCAGGACCTCCTAGCATTAAGGGTCTAGGTTGAGAAATTAGCTGATATCTGAATTGGTTTCCCCCTATATAAAAATCTAATACTTTTATCTTATGGCTTTTAAAATTCTATCCTTATTCTGTCTTTTCATTATAGTGTACCTTGGTGTGGGTATGTTGTAATTTTTTGCATTTGGGATCCTATAAGCCTCTTCTATTTAATTTTTCATTTCATTCTTCAGGTCTGGGAAATTTTCTGATATTATTTCATTGAAAAGATTGTGGATTCCTTTGGTTTGTATCTCTGTGCCTTCCTCTAACCCAATAAATCTTTTTTTTTTTTTTTAAGATAGAGTGAGGGGGGGAGAGAGAGAGAGAGAATTTTTAATATTTATTTTTTAGTTTTCGGCGGACACAACATCTTTGTTTTGTATGTGGTGCTGAGGATCGAACCCGGGCCGCACGCATGCCAGGAGAGCGCACTACCGCTTGAGCCACATCCCCAGCCCCCCCAATAAATCTTAAATTTGGTCTTTTCATGTTATCCTATAATTCTTAGAAGTTCTATGTGGTCAATTTTATTTTCAAGATGGGCTGGGATTGTGACTCAGTGGTAGAATGCTTGCCTATCATGAGTGAGACACTGGATTAAATTCTCAGCACTGCATATAAACAAACAAAATAAAGTCCATAGACAACCAAAAAAACATTAAAAAAATATTATATATTTTGTCTTCATTGCCTGAGGTTCTGTCTTCCAAGTGGTCTAGTCTGTTGGTGATACT